GGCGGCAGGAGCTGCAGCTCCATCTCTTGACGCATTTGGTGGATCTTCCATCGCCGGCCTCGAAGGGTCGCTTTCCTGAAGGCTCAGGAGGACCCTTCATGGCCACTATCCGTGAACGTGCAGCTGGGGGTGTGGCCCAGGTTCCTTGTTTCTGGACACGGTGGCCGCCCTCTGGACTTGGGGTCAGCAGGAGTCGGGGGCTTGGCTCTGTTTCTGGATCTGACGATTGCTTGGGAAGTGCTGGGCTTCCAGGAGGCGCAGGGGCCCTTCTTGGGGCCCTGGCCTTTGACCTGAGTTTGGCTCAGGTGGTTGGGGAATGTCCTGGGCGGCTTCCCGAGGCTGGGGTCTGGCTTCCTGTTGGGGGGAGCGTGCAGGTCCCCCACCCACACTGTTGGAGTGACGCCCCTGCAGGGTCCCAAGCCAGCAGCTGCCATTCGGCCTGCACCTGTGTGTGTGAGCGGAGGCCTTCAGAACCGGTCTGGACCTTCCCTGGGACGTTGGAGTTCTCCTCCGGCCTCCAGGACCCCACCCGTGTCTGCTGCCAGAGCCCTGGGTTGTCACCGCCACCCCGCTTCCTGGGTGCTCTCAGCCCCGGCCCTGGGCTCCTCCCTGACCTGCTTCCAGCCTTGGCCCCCGGGTGTTCTCAAGTGCAAACGTTGCTCACTCTGAGGCACTGCCCCTTTGCCCATGAGGTGAAGCGCGGATCCCCGGGACCCATGCCAGTGCCACCTGCCTCTGCTCCACCAGCCTCGGGTCATCCCTGCCACTCCCTCCCCTTCCTGCTCTCCTCCCAGTAGTGTTTGGCGCAAGCATTTCCTGCGTTAAAAGCCTCGCCGGTATTGCTGCCATGGCTGCTTCCCCAGGTGCCCTGTGGCTCTGCTGCCTGATTCCGTGTCCGGGGTCTCCTCCCCTCTCCTAGCTAGGAGTCCCACAGGTCTTTCCAGGATTTTGCAGACTGCGGGGTACACAGTAGGTGCATACTTCATGTCTGGAGACCATCTGCACAGGGCTTCCAGGCACCTGCAGCAGCAGCTCGAGTGGAGCTGGAGCTCTGGACGCCCGTGCCAGGGCCTGGCAGTAACTCCCTCGATCACAGCTGTGTGCGCGCAGTCCCTGCAGCTGTTCTGACGCCCCCTGTCGCTTGGCTGAGCCGGGCACGAGCAGGCAGGGCTTCCAGGGCCCGGACCTGAAGGGGCTGCTGCTGAAACAGCGCCAAGTCCCTGGTGGCTGAGACCCCACTGTCGACGGTGAGAGGGGAGACTCCTAAGCCCTTTTTGCAGGACAGGTCTAATTTTAGGTGATTAAGCCTCCCGGCGTGGTCACGAAAGGGAGCGTAGTTTGGGAGTTTGAGGCACGTTATACAAGCGCTGAGTGCTTCTCCGCTCAGAGCCCAGGGAGGCAGAGGGCCCCTCGTTTCCCTAAATGCGCTGCCCGCTTGACCTTGTGTGCAAAGACAGTGGTGCGAGCAGGGTCCGTGGGCCCCAGCGCTCTGTCCACGGGGGCGTGAGCGCCAGCTGGGGGGGCAGAGGAAGGCAGAGTTGCTTCACCCCCTGCCTCCCCACCCAAGTTCCTCACTGGGGCGCTGTCCGCCCAAGGAGGGGTCAGGGTGTGGGGTGCTCCTGGCCCTGTTGATCAGTTCTGCCGTGCTTACCCTGTGCCCAGCACATTGCCGTTGCCCGCATTTGACAGACGAGGAAACAGGCTCAGAGAGGTGAAGTCGCTTGCCCAAGGATGCGCAGGTGGGAGGGAGGTGAGCCAAGATTCAAGCCCAGACCACCTGGCTCCAGGGGCCTTGCTCTGACCAGGGTGCCCACAGCCCAAGGGCAGGGATGACCTGCAGACCGTAATTGGCCCGTGGATGTGTTCAGCTCCGTGGTGGTTTTATTTATTTTTCACTGAGTTAGCTGTCAGCACTGAAGGTCAGGAGATGGCACACAGCAATCTCGTTTCTAGCTCTTCTCCATGCGTCCGCAGCTCTGCGGGTTCTGGCCTGGACCCTGTGGGAGCTGTCACCTGGAGGGAAAGGACCATGGCCAAGGCCACCCGCTCAGGGGAGGCTGCCCCATCCCTGCAGGGCACAGCACTTGGGGTGCTCACTGTGTCCCTGGCCAGGCAGGAGCCCGGGTTACTCCAGAGCAGTGAGACGCCGGCCCTCCCAGGCCGCTGTGCCCTTCTGCTGCCTGGTTCCTCCCCCAGGCCTCCGGGCCCGTCCGTACCTGGAATTTCAGACTCACCTACGTGGGCGGAGCCTTGGCTGCTTCTGTCTCAAGGGAGTTCACTGCTACGTGGTCCTTGTGAAGCCTGTGGCTTCACAGAATAGATGTTGAGTCTCTGACAAATTTCTCTTAGGGTCTTAAGATTTCACAACCCCAAGGATTATTTCTAGCCTTCGAGCCTTTGCCAGAGGGCACGTTAGTCCTTTGTGTATGGGTCAGCGTGCCCGCCTCGTGGGTCTTGAAACCCAGAAATAAATGCTACTAACGTGAGGCCCAGAGTTCTGGTTCCCAGTACTTTCCTTTCTTTCAGTTTTACTTTCCCCGATTTGGGGTTAATAAAGATGGCACCGTTCTTACCTTAATGAAAAAAAGTAAAGTCATATCTCTCTAAAAATAATTCTGAAGTGTTTGTATGAGGATGGAGAAGGCCGTGGAAGTTTCTGTGGGGGATGGGCGAGGAGAGTTAAGTTCTGCCATTACATAGCTTTGGGGTGTTCCACTTGTTACAGGTTTTCGTGACTTTGTTCACTAGGACATCTAATACAATTTAGTATAATTACATGAGAAAGTTTTAACAAACGTGTGTTGGAATGACACTCCCAGAATACTCTCAGGAACGTTCTGTGCACAGGGCCCTCCTGGAGGGAATGCATCTGTGAGACCACTGGGGTAGTGGCCGTGAAGGATGCGGCATTCCATAGGGAAGCGTAGCTGTGTCATCCAGGTCTGTGTCCCCTCCCCCAGGTGGGTGGGGGGCAGTGCAGCAGTGGCCCTGGGGCCTAGGAGGATGGTCACTCTGGGGCTTCTGCAGGGACGGGGCTGCCAGGGCTTCAGCAGGCGGTGCTTTGGGGCCCCAGGGCTGGAAAGGAGTAGCCAGCCTGCCCCACAGAAATACACTGTGAGCCCCACTAAAAAAGGCAAATGAGACACATGGAATTCATTTTAATATATTTCATTTAACCCAGTTACCCCAAATGCTATCATTTCAATATGCAATCAATATAAAAAAATTATTGCAGGTATTTTACATTCTTTTGTTTTTCCATACCAAGTTTTCACAATCTGGTGTGTGCTCCCCTGGGAGCCACCCCAGTTCCCACCACTAGCCACGTGGCAGGTGCCTGGCAGCCGGCATGGCTGGGGGCAGCGCAGGAGCAGGCCTCTCTGAGTCCGCAGAGGAAAACATCTGAGTGGCCAGCTTCAGAGAGGCCATCCTGCCCAGTCTGACTCCGGCCGACCTCCCTCTTCTGAAAAACCCTGGCAGAAACATCGGTCTGCAGGCCGACGGGGCGGAGCAGGAAGCCCAGAGACCAAACTGCTGACCGTGAGGTTTTCGTCCAAGTGGTTCCTTCTCTTTTGGCTTAGCTGTACTTGAATTTTCTCTAGGGTGCAGAAGTTTACCATTAAAATTATTTTACGTACATATTTCAGTGAAAAGAATGAAGGTTGAAGGGGGCCTCCCCCCACCTCCCAGTTTTCATGACACCCTCAAGCTCCTAGGCCTTTAATGTCAACATGGTTTTTTGTTTTGTTTTGTTTTGTTTTTTTGCGGTACGCGGGCCTCTCACTGTTGTGGCCTCTCCCGTTGCAGAGCACAGGCTCCGGATGTGCAGGCTCAGCGGCCATGGCTCACGGGCCCAGCCGCTCCGCGGCATGTGGGATCTTCCTGGACCGGGGCACGAACCCGTGTCCCCTGCATCGGCAGGCGGACTCTCAACTGCGCCACCAGGGAAGCCCAACATGGTTATTTTTATTCCCGAGCTTCGCGGGGTAAAAAGTTCTAAAGTGAAGGTGCTCGTAGCAACCAGCTCGCCACGTGGCACGTCCCCTTTATTAGGGGATCCTGCTAAGTGCTTTGACTTGTAATGACAATATTGTGACTAGGGAGTGAAAATATTGTGACAAGCCAGAGAATTTCAGGTTGCCATGGAAACCTTCCCCTAGCTGTCCTCGGTGAGGTGGGCTTGGCTGCAGGTGCCGCTGCAGGCGGCCGCTTGGCTTTGTTTCAGCTCGTTTGGGGCCCTGTCGTTCCACAGCTCGTGGGCAGTTTGGGGAGCTCAGCGCGAGGAGCTGCCAGACGGCGGGGGCGGGGGGGGGGGTGTCTCTGTTCGCCCTTTCGTGTCTTTGGGGCTGTGTGAGGGGCTGCGTGAGAGTGAAGCTATCGCGGGGGCGTCGGGCGTCCAGGAGTGACAGCTGGCTGTTGGCACATGGCTCTGTGTCCTCCAGCAAGGTCACGCGCTAATGGACCGGCGAGCGGGCAGCCCTGTTCTGGACGAACCCAGCCATCCCTGTCCTGAAACCTGCCTTAAGCTTCGTCCAGGGAGGGCTGGAAATAGAGGGTCTGAACCAGGGCGTCGGGGAGGCAGCCTCCTGCTCCCCGCCGGTGGGGCTCGGTCTTGGCAGGGGCGTGAGCCTCGCTGGGTGGCGCACGGCCAGAGCTGGCCCAGGCAGTTTGCTGGGAAAAGAAGGAAGGAAAAAAGCACCTATGGGAAAGTATGCCTTGCCCAAGTCTGCTCACTTTGATGATGAAAAAGTAGGGGGACATCTCCTCCAGCCCAGGAATACTCAGCCTTTCTTTCCTGGGGACCTTCCCCGCTGCTGTTTTTGAGCAGGACCTGAGCTGAGTCCAGTTGAGACCCCAGGGCGTGCTCGCTGCACTCGGCCCGCAGACCTTGGGCAGCCGGACAGAGACCTCGGCTCTGACTGGCCTCTGCTGCTCTGGGGTGTGACGGGCTTGGTGGCTGGTGCCCGAGTGTGAGTCCCTGCCCCTTCCCTTCTGTGCAGGGCCCCCGGAGACCGACAGCCCGCTCTGCCTCCCCTACAAGACGCTGGTCTCCACGGTCGGAAGCATGGTGTTCAGCGAGGGCGAGGCCCAGCGGCTCATCGAGATCCTGTCTGAGAAAGCAGGTGTTGTCCAGGACACGTGGCATAAGGTGGGCCCTCCCCCCACCCCAGGGGCCAGTGAGTGGCAGTGGTTTCCTGGTCTTGGGCCCCGGCCTCCCCTGGATGGTGCCCCGCAGGCCGGCCGCACCCGACTTGACAAGCTGCGCGGAGTGTTCCTGGAACACCTCCACCTGCCTCTCGGGGAAACTCTGCCCTTCCCCAGGTTGGGCTGCGTGAATCACCCGCAGATGCTTCTGCTTCAGCCGCAGCCCAGCCGCCGCAGCAGGAGGGCTGTTACGGGCCGGGGCGGGGCGTCTGGGGGGCCAGGAGCTGGGATCCGCTGGTTTGTGGCCGGGGCTCGGGCTCAGGGAGGAGGGTGTTTGTCTCCCTGGTTTCTTTCTGTCTGGTGCTTGTGGCCACGAGCTGCCCCAGGAGGTGCCGTGGGGCATGGTTGTTCCTTAAACAGCTGGAATTGTAGGTAATTTTGCTGGAGGATTTTGTGGCACCTCAGTGGTGAGAGATGTTGGGAGTGTCCTGAGGCCACTGGGTCACCGCCCCCCCCACCCCGCCCTAGCCCTTGCTGAGTGGTGACGGGCCCTGCGGTCACAGGAGCTCCTCGCTCAGTGCGCGTTGGGCCGTCTTCTGGGCCTGAAGTGGCCGGAGGTCAAGGTGGCCACTCCCCTCCAACAAGAGAGGCCTGAACTCAGCTCAGGCCGCTGTCCCCAGGTACCTACCCCCCACCCCCACCCCGTGCCCGGGCCTCCAGGCTTCAGCTGGCAGCCTGCAGGCCGCCCCCAGCAGCTGAGGGATGGGCACCAAGCCAGGGACGATGGCCGACGGCCCCCAGCAGGCCGGGAAGAGGCCCTGGCCACCATCGACCGGGGTTAGGGAAGAACCATGCTCCCACAACTACCCCAGGGGTCCAGAGCTTTGGGCCCGAGGCCTGGCCGACCGGGCGGCAGAGGCAGGGGCCGCCCCCAGAAGTGTGTGCCGTCGGGATGGCACCGCTCGTGCGCCATCAGGCCGCCGCTCTGCTTTTGGGTCGGGGTCTGATGGGGTGAGTCTCAAACTAGGCGTCTGCCCACCCCATTAACGCGGCTCTGTGGGCATCTCTAGGCCACTCAGAAGGGTGACCCCGTGGCGATTCTGAAACGCCAGCTGGAAGAGAAGGAGAAGCTGCTGGCCACAGAGCAGGAGGACGCGGCCGCCGCCAAGAGCAAACTGAGGGAGCTCAACAAGGTAGGGCCGGCGCCGGGTCGGCCCGGGGGCTGTGGCTGCGTGAGGACCCCTGCACAGCGGGGTCCCTCTCGGGACTGGGAATGCACGGGTTGGAGGGGACAGTCGGCCCTGCGGTTGTGGCCCCGTCTTTTTAGGGTGATGCCCTGAGAGGAGGGTGGGCACGGTGGGTCCCAGGGTCTTTTCTTGAGAATTGGAGCAGAAAGCCGTGGGGAGGGCTTAGCGGGGCTGCTGCCCCTTCTCCGCTGTCTGGGGAGCGGTCCCGTGGTGGTTCAGCACGTGACACGTATGTACCCAGTGAACACTGGTCTCGAGGGCCCGTGCTGCCCCGACGGGCTGGGGGCCTCGTTCAGGAGGGGTCGGCACGCGGCCGCTCCTTGTGAGGAGGAGGTCCGGGTCCCCTGCAGAAAGCTGGTCCCTCCCCGTTTAAGCTGTCCTTCCCAGCATCGCGCCCTGCGTGGCCCTCGCCCTGTCCCCGCTTCCTCCGCGGGACAGCGGGCGCAGGGAGGCGGTTGGGTCCTCGGAACATCCCACACGTCTGGGCGCCTGCGTCGCTCACTCACAAGGCGTCAGAGTTTGTCCTGAGCGACGGCCGCGGCTCTAGGCCAGACGGGAAGGTTTGTTCAGTGGGGGACAGATGGGCGGCGGGAGCGGAAGACGAGGCTTTGCCGTGGTCGCTCCTGGTCAGGCTCCACCCAGGAGGTGGAAGGGGAAGGCCAGTCTCTGAGGCCTCCCCTAGTGCAGCCTCCTATCCGGTGGCCTTCGTCCTCTCTCTCGGGAGTGTCCCCCGCGGCCTCGGGTTGCTGATTGGATGCAGGGCGGCCAGAGCCACTCACCCTGCTCCCAAGAGCCGACTGCGCTTCCCTTTCTGCCCGGCTGCTGGCGCGTCCCAGGCCAGGAGCCTCTGCCCCATGGAAGTGGGCTGTGAGTCACAGGCCTCCTGCCCCAAGGGCCCGCGGCCAGCAGCGACTGTGGAGTCTGTGGTTCTGGGGGCTGTTTTTCTGTATTCTCTTTTTGGACAACCTGAGAAGATGTGTTGACCCCAAAATAAAGCTCACGTGAGAGGAAAGGGGAGTGACTGTTTTTGTGGCTGGTGGCTGTGTGGCTCCCCGGCCAGTTCCTCGTGCTGGCCCCTGAGATTAGGGTGGGCTGGACGTGTCATGAGTGAGCAGGTGCAGCCTCTGACGGTGATGGTGGCTATTGCTGGGGTCTCCGGCCACCTCGGGCTGGACAGCAGGTGTGGGGTGGGGGGTGCACCCTGCAACAGGAAGCCCTTTAGGTGCTGCTGCCTGTGTAGGACACTTGCTGCTCCCCTCCGGGGCGGCTACTTGAGTTTCCAAACCCTAGCGCAGCTGACCCACAGACCCCCTCCCCCTCGCCCTCCCCCTCGCCCTCCCCCTCCCCGACCAGACGCATTTCCAGCCATGCCCAGGCACGGTCTCCCTGCCATGAGACACAGGCGCAGCCCCTGGGGCTCCAGGCCTTGGCCCTAAGGCAAGACGTCTGACAGTGCGTCCAGCTGGGGCCCTGCCTCCCCCACGGCATCCTCCTCCCTGAGCCGCAGGGGGTCTTCACGGGCTCTCAGCGCTTATGCGGCCCTGGGAGGGCCACCTCTTCAAGTGCAGGTGGCTCCCAATCTTCAGACCCGAGTCTGCTCCCCGACACGCCTGCTCCTCACTGCCTCCCCGGGGCCTCTGGTGCTCCTGCATTAGCCTCGAGTGCCCTTCACCGCTTGGCTCACTGGAAAGAGCCCCCTCCTTCAGGAAGCCCTCCAGGGCGGGGCCCCCATTTTCCTGTCTCAGCTCAGAGGTCACCTTGTCTGGCAGGGGCCACTGAGGCCCAGGCATCGCCATCTGTCCTTCTGTGCCCTGGAGTCCATGGATGCTGAGTCCCTGCCTTTGTCTATTGAGAGTTTCAAGCAGAGTGGAGGGGATTCCACTGCTGTGCCACGTCTTCCAGCCTAGCACCATTGAGTAAAGTTATATGAGAAACTTCTGAGAATGTAGAAGTTCCGACTAACTTGATTATCCCAGGAGCTGGGGGGTGGATAGGATCCGCGTTTCTTGTTTAGTTCCCGTCACAATTTCTTTGTCCTTGTACAGAAGTTTTTATGGTTGCAAAAGAAGGTTTTGGTGAATTCCTTTTCTTGTGATCTGTGGCTAAAGGACACAGAGGCCGTGTGGACTGTCTGCCAGATTAAGTGGGCACCTTGCAAGTGGGTGAAGTCAACAGAGTTGGGTTCAAAGACCATTCCGGGCACCAGTTCACGGGCTCGGGTGTCCTGAGACCTCCATCCTGGTTTCTGAGCGTCTTCGGGGACGTGTTCAGGGATTTGAGGAACCACACGTGGCTCCAGAGCCGTCCTTCTGGAAAACCGTCTTTCCAGCTGTCATCTGCTTGGGCACCGGGGCCTCTGTCCCGAGGTGACACTCTGGGCTGGACCCCATCCTGTCCTCACTCGGGCCCGAGAGGCTGGGCTCTGAATCCTCCGTGGACAAGGAGACTCTCAGGGCGGGGGTGCTCCAGTCCACGCCTCAGCCACCTCGGGAGATTCACGGTGCAGGGCCCGCTCGGCCTGGGGAGCAGAGTGAGTTTCTGGGCTGGTGGTGTCGCGACGGTGCCTCTCAGTTCAGTCAGAGGAAATGGGGCTCCGGCCCCCAGCAGCAGGTGTGCCTTTCAAGAAAATAAGTCTGACCATTGCAACTGAATTAAGAATTTGACAGACAGGAGGAGTCCTGGGATTCTGTGCTCCTAGAAGAAAGAGAAGCTGTGGAGGATGAAACAGATACCGTGAGGAAAATCTGGCCTTTCTTTGCCTTTAAAAAGTCCCAGGGCAAAAGGAAGGGAAATCCCATTGAATCCTGGTGGCTTTGGGACCCTGTCCCAGGAGACTGGGATCCTTACACCCTGAGCCGGATGGATGCCCAGAACTGCCTGAAGCCTGCTCAGGGTGGGGAAGGCCTTCCCCAGACCTATGCACAGCCTCCGGGCATCCGGCATGGTGGGCAGAGGGCCACCTCTGTGTGGCCATGATTATTCATCAGGGGCTGGACCGTGTACTTAGGGGCCTCTGTTCTGCTTGGGGTAGGGTGGCAGGCATGGGTCAGAGGAAGCCTGCCGGAGCCCTGAATCCCCGCCGAGCGGCCAGCTCAGCCAGAGGAGGGGCACCTCGCATACCATCCCTTCTGGGACCCTCGTGGGCCCACAAGGCCCCAGGTTCCTGCCCATCCTGTCGCTTAGGGCTGCTCTTGGCCTTTGAAAGCGTGTCCTCCCCGAGGCTCTGTGAGCTCAGCTTCAAACCAGAGATGGGGAGCCTCGCCTTACTGAGAGGATTGAAGGAACGAGACACATGCGTGTCCGAGTGGCCTCTGCCCCTGTGGGCCCTCGCCCTGGGCACAGCCAGGAAGAGGATTTCTTTGAAGAGCGGGGCCAGGGGTCCCGGATGGTCCCAGGGAACTCCAGGCATGCAGAGCCGCCCGGGCACCCAGCGGCCACCCGCTCAGCCCGGCCCTTCCCTGGCCTCCAGTTCTGTCCCATCTCAGACGGGAGGGGTCCTCTGGCCATTTGGGATAGACCTCCCTAGCATCCCGGCCTGGAGAAGAGGAGGCTCTCCCGCTTCTCTGGTCCACTGCCCAGGACGGGGAGGGGCCTTGAATCTCATGGGACTTGTGCCCCAGTCTGGCTAGAGGCCCCCTCGACAGAGAGCACCTCCGCCCGGGGGCCGGTGCACGGGTCCCTCCTCACACTATCACTTCCTGCTCCCCCATTGTTTCTGTCCACTGCCATTCCATCTGCGATGATGGAGACCCCGTCCTTTGGCCAGCCCTTCCCACCCTGCGCTCTGCCCCTGCCTGAGGCTCTGGGTCCCCAGGCCCCGCGTCCCATGTTCATTGTGGGCATCTGCCACTGACCGGAGCAGACATTCCAGGGATAGGGCGGTGGACCGAGCGGCTGTCCACGGGGACCTAGGCCCTCTAGGAGTGGGCTGACCCCTCGGCCATCAAGGCTTGCTGCCTTGTCAGTCCTGACAGAGATACTCAAGTAGAAGAGGGCGTTCTAGGGCCTGGCTGTCGGGGACTGAGCCAAACCAGGGTGTTGTAATCCCAGCAGGGTTCAGCCAGTGCCCCTGGAGAGCCCAGGGACAGGATGCCATGTTGCCCAGCTCCTGCCTGTATCCACTGTGCCCACTGTGTTCAAGGCCTGATGGCCAGCCCTCCACCAGTCAGGCCGGCAGGGATTCCGGGGGTCCCTCCTCATCCCCTGCTCGTTCTCTGCTGTGGCTGCTCCCGTCTGTCCGAGAGCTCAGGACGGGGGTCTTGTGGCTCTGCGATCAGGCTCCTCCTGGCCCCAGGTCATGTTCCGGGTCATGATGGTCTTGGTTTCATCTGATAAGCTGCCCCCGCCCGCCTCACCAGCCTCTCTGCCCTCTGCTTTCTCCCAGGAGCTGGCAGCGGAAAAGGCCAAGGCAGCAGCCGGGGAGGCCAAAGTGAAAAAGCAGCTGGTGGCCCGGGAGCAGGAGATCACGGCCGTGCAGGCGCGCATGCAGGCCAGCTACCGGGAACATGTGCAGGAGGTGCAGCAGCTGCAGGGCAAGGTGGGCAGCAGGGCGGGCACGGATGCCCGCGGACGGGGCCCTCACCATCGCGTTTGTTTGGGGGAGGGTTGTTTCACCTGGCCAGATGGTGTGTGTGTTTAACGTTAATAACCAGGAAGATGTATGCACATTTTAAAGAGCATTGTCTGAAAGCACTCTGGTCCCAAGTGGTCAGCACTCCATCCTTTTCCCTGGGGGCCCATGGGTCAAGTTCGCAGCCTCTTCATGACCCTGGAGTCATGCCGGCTCCACCTCCTCCACTTGAGGTTGGGAGAACGCCATAAAACGAGAGGCCCGAAAAACCGCACAGCCCCAGCGGAGGGCCGGGCCAGCCCTGGCCTGCACAGTCAGAGCCCTGCACTCCGCTTCCGGCGGGCCGTGCCACAGGGGGTCAGAGGGCAGGAAACGGGCATCTTCGGGGTAACCGTAGGCTGTGGCTTGTGGCCCTTTGCTGGGTCTCAGAGCCTCGGTCGGGGCAGAGCGCACCAGCTCCATCTGGGGCTTTGGGCTGAGTGCTCGGCTCTGCACTTTTCCGGCCCCTGTTCTGAGGGGGCCTCCCCACCTCGGGGGGAGAAGGCGGAGCCCTCCGGGCTCTTGTCTGCGGGCTGGGGTCTTGCCGACCTTGCTCCGAGGTGGCTCTCTTTGTCAGGCCGAGTGGCCTCTGATGCCCCTTGGATGACCTTTCAGATCCGGACGCTTCAGGAGCAGCTGGAGAATGGCCCCAACACGCAGCTGGCCCGCCTGCAGCAGGAGAACTCCATCCTGAGGGACGCCTTGAACCAGGCCACGAGCCAGGTGGAGAGCAAGTAAGCCCTGTGCCCCTGGCCGGACCCTGGCACCTCCCCGAGGGCCCGGAGTGAGCAGGGTCCCTCCGTGAGCCTTCAACACGTGGCCGGCGACCTCTCGCGTGGTCAGGCCCTGGGAGGGCTGGTGAGCTCCAGCCCATGCCCGGCATCCGTGTCACCAGATCCCCTCAGGTCCTGGCTTTGCTGGGAGAGCAGGTACTTTTTCATGTCTATTTTCACAGTGTCCCTGCTTCTGGCCCAGAGTATCAGAGCCAGGCTGACCATCCAAGATGAGGGTCTGGTGTGGTGTGGGCCCTGCCGTGGGCCTGAGTGCCCTGAATCCCCCTGGTCAGGTCTCCTGTGCAGGAGGGGACGTCTGCCGCTCAGGAGCTGAAGCCGGGAGGCCTCCGTGAGCCGGCAGAGGCCACTCCCCAGGGGGCAGGGTCTTCTGTGTCCCTGGTTTCAGCACCACCGCCCCAGCAGGCTGGCCAGGAGGAAGCCCCACTGCATTTTCTCTTGGTTCCCGTTTCTTTGCCTTCTCTCATCCGGGGTGTCATGTAGGGATTTCTGGGGTGCTTGTTATCCCCAGACCATCCCCTCTCCCCCAGAGGAGGCTGACGGGAGCAGAGAGAGCAGGCGCCCGTAGCGGGAGGGCAGGTGGGAAGAGTGTCACCCACAAGCGGCACCGGGAGCGAAGCCTGTGCTCACAAGGCTGCTTCTCCTGGCGGCCCCACTGACTCGGAGTGAGGTTGATGGCCACCCTCCTCGCTGGTCCCTTCTCTCAGGGGTCCCTGTCTTCATCTCCGTCCTGACCTGCTGGCAGGTTGATGGTCTGGGGCTGCGGTTTCCTCAGCAGTCACGGCAGAAGGTGACTGTGGGGACGGAGGGACACTGGCTTCCTTCTCACGTAGGGTCCACTGCTGGCTCCATCCTGGGCACAGCTGTAAAGCCTGGCCCTGAGTTGCGGCTGCTGACCCCATCAGCTTGCGGACACTCTGCCGTGTGGGACGGGTGTCCCCACGTCCCTCCCAGAGCTTCATGTCGGTCCCAAGGGGCCACCCAGCTGGCCTCCCACCCCCATCCCCATCCCTGGTACTGGAGTCCAGCCTCGCGTGGGCTCCCCAGTCTCGAATCTTGGCCCTGGAAAGCGTGCACTGAGGGCCCCGCAGAGGGCTTTGGGGCGGCCTCCCCTGTGCAGACGGGGAGCCCACATCTCCCCTCCCCAGGCAGCAGGGCAGAGCTGGTGTTGGCCAGGTTTCCTGCCTCTCAGGGCTGTGGACCGTCTCCTCTGTCGCCTTCACCTGGTCTGGTACTGTCTCTTGGCTGGACGGTCAGTCCTGCCGTGAAGAGGTGTCTTTTGTGCTGTGAAGGAGGCTGCACGCTGACGACCTCCTCATGCTGGGAAAGGCGGGTCCGGAGCTGCCCCTTTTGCTGTCAGTCACATCTTCCGTCACTCCTGAACCTCCTCGCTGGTCCTGAGACCCAGCTCTTGTGCAGCATTGCGGGGTCTCGTGTAAGATGCTGCAGCCTCTTTCCCTGCCTGGCTGTGGTCCAGTCGGCCAGTGAATCCAGCGTGTGGACTCGAGCGGGCCGCTGGCCCCGGTCCTGCAGGGCAGCATCCCAGGGCTCATTTGGGCCCAGACCAACCGTGAGGAATCAGCCACTTCTGTCAGGGGCTCCGTGGGCTGCTTTAGTGCACATTTTGCCCTTGGCTTTTGCTGGTCCCTCCACCGTGTTTGTAAAACAGCATCTTCAACAAAACACGTCACACCCACGTGGCTGATTACATAGAGGGCCTCAGAGGGGCTCCAAGACGGGCAGCTACTTCAGAAAGAGCAGGTGCCCCGGAGGGAAGGGCTCAGACCTCCGGTCCCATCTCCCGGGGTGGCTCTCGGGGCTGGCGAGAGCTGACTTGAGCCCTCTTCTGTCCGTCATGCGGGGCCTCCTGACTGTCTTGCAGGCAGAATGCAGAGCTGGCCAAGCTCCGGCAGGAGCTGGGCAAGGTCAGCAAGGAGCTGGTGGAGAAGTCGGAGGCCGCACGGCAGGAGGAGCAGCAGCGGAAGACGCTGGAGGCCAAGGCAGCCGCCTTTGAGAAGCAGGTCCTGCAGCTGCAGGTGAGTTCGGGGGCAGCCACCTCGGTGCCCGTGAATCCTGCCCGCCAGGCTCTACGCGCGGCCTCCCTGGGTCCTCCCTTCTCAGCTGTGACTGTGACTGCAGTGGACCCAGGCAGGGCTGGGGCTGGAACCCTCGACCTTGGCCTTGTTAGTAGTGATACCTGGTCGGCATAGAGTGGGTGCTTTCTGTGTGCTAAGCGTTGTTCTGAACGTTTACAAGCTTAACTCAGGCAATTCTCATTGCAACCTTATGGGGTAGATACTGTTATTACCTGTCATTTACCCAGAAGGAAATTGGACGCACAAAGTTCAGCAACTCCGCCAGTTCACCCACAGCCAGGGTTTGAGCCCCAGAGCAGTCACCGTCCCACACTTGCCACACGTGTGGTGTCACAGCTCCGGCCGCAGCCAGGCCGGCGGGCGCGGCCTCTGGCTTCAAGGCCCGGTGGGTGTTCTTTCTTCTCAGCCTCTGGATGTGGCCCGGAAGCTCGTATTTTCCCAGGGGGACGCCTGTTGTCCAGAGGGAGGAAGACTGTCCCCTCCCTGCCCCATAGGCGCTGGGCAGCAACCAGTGGGCCCCTCAGTCTCGGGGCCTCTCTGCTCATTGGCCCGACGAGTGCTGCGTCCCCCAGCTGGCCTGTTTCGGGGCAGGGTGACCGGACGTGGGGCAGTTGTCATACCTCTGTGCATGTAACTTCTCTGGAGGACAAGGAAACCCTGGAGACCCACACAGCTTTGCACCTGTTTCTGCTCAGTCACTGAAGCTCTCGGCTGTAGCGTGTGGGGCAGTGGGGCTGTTTTATGGAAGGGATTAGAACGACAGACACGAAATTGTAAGACTGCTGTGTGTGTGCCTAAGAACAGGCACAAATAAACAAAGTTTGGATTGTTTGGGTGGAATTGAGATGGATAACTTGGTGTAAAGTAGGTCCACCCTGAGCAGTGAGATCAGAGCCCCTGGGGAGGGCCTGGTGGTTATGTTCTGAAGGCTGTCGGGTGGCCCTGGTGCTTCCTGGGCTGGAGCCTTCTGGCGCCCGGGTTGTCACCATCACTGTAGCCAGGAATTCCCAGGCCGCGAGCATCTCCTCTCTCTGGGGTCACAGAGTCCCCGTGGTATTGATAGTGAGGCCCGGATTTCAGAGGTGCAGTTTCCCCACCTGTAATGTGGGTGTGGTGGTGGTACCTGTGTCTTGGGGTGGCTGGGGATTAACCACACTGACACACATGGATGCCTTGCCCAGAACTGCCTAACAACCATATGACCTTTACCAGGCCCCCTCGGGAAATCTCCAGCTCAGGCTGGACGTTTAGCTTGTAGGAAGCCTCTCCCTGTGCCACACTCAGGTGAAAATGGGCCTTTGCCTTTCTGGGGCTGTCCTGCCTTCACCTGAGGCCTCTTCCCCAGGAGCCCGCTCTTCAGGGTCCAGGGTGGCCTCTTGGCCTTTTCTAGCAGGTGAACTGACCTGGAAATCCAGGAGGCTTATATAAGTCATCGGCACAGGATGGCAGGGTGTGAGGAGCTCTAGACGGCAGAGCCGGCTCAGGGCCCACCTCCTGCCGCATCCTCCCGGCCCTCCTCCCTCTACCGGCCCCCAGGTGTCTCACAAGGAGAGCGAGGAGGCCCTGCAGAAGCGCCTGGATGAGGTCAGCCGGGAGCTGTGCCGCTCGCAGACCAGCCATGCCAGCCTCCGGGCGGACGCCGAGAAGGCCCGGGAGCAGCAGCAGCAGATGGCCGGTGAGGGCGGCGTGGGGGCCAGCTCCGTGGTGGGGGTGGCGAGGGCAGCCGGGACCCCTGACTCCCCACCCGTCAGGGGACGTGCCGGGGGTGCTCAGGGTCAGGCCTGGGCTGCGGAGGACTGAATGTGGGGGGCGGGGCCTGTGGGGCTGGATATGGGGGTGGGGGTGGAGCCTGTGGGGGTGTGGCCTGTGGGGTGGGATACGGGGGCGGGCTCAAGGTGGAAGATGCTGCCCCTTCGGCGTCACTTGCTGTGGGGCCCACCTGGAGCTGTGATGCTCCTGGGGCTGCTGCCAGCCTTCTCTTCCAGCCCAGTCAGGCCTGGAGGCCAGATTTGGAAGGTGGGTTTATGGTCCCCCTGTGCTCACAAGTCACCTTCTCAAACGGGAGGTGGTGACGAAACCCAGGGCACCAAGGGCCCCTAGAGAAGCAGGGCAGACCGTGCCAATGAGGGCTCACCAGTACTTCTGGAGCCACTGCTGGGGGCCGAGCACTCCTGTGGGTGCCCGGGGCTTGGCCGGGAGTGAAGCAGCGGGCTTGGGGCCGCGTTCTGGCAGGAGAGACTGGCACAGTAGGTGGATCCATGTCGACAGACTTCAGGTAGGCAGCGTGACCGAGAGCAGGTCCTAGAAACGGCAAGCTGTGTCTGTGAAGGGCTAGGCAGTAAATACTTTTGGCTTTGTAGGCCAAATGGTATTTGTCACAACTGCTCAGCTCTGCTGCCATAGTGCAAAAGCCACCCTAGACAGACAGACTTGGCTGTGTGCCAATAAAGCTTTATTTTCAAGAACACGTTGTGGGCTGGGTTGGCCCAAGGGCCTAGTTTGCTGACCCCTGCTATGATGGGCCGGGTGTGGCTTTGAGTGGTCAGGGGAGGCCTCTCTGGGGAGAAGGGGATGTTTAAGCCCAAGGTCTGGATGATGGGGAGAGGCCAGCCTCACAGAAACCGCGAAGGGGCCCCTGAGAATGGGAGTGAACTTGAACTTGGCCTGTACAAGAAACAGATGCAGGTCAGCAAGCGAGACTGGAGAAGAAGGCAGTGGCTAGTGTGGGGTAGACGGGCAGGGCCGGGCCACCCTCCTTTGAAGAGTTCAGGGGCCGTGTGGAGTGCTGAGGGGGCTGGGAGCACGGGCAGGGCTGGCGGGATCCCATCTGCACTTCTGGACGCTCCGGCTCCCGGTGGGGACCAGGGATGGGGCCTTGCAGTCGTCGGACCAAAGGCACCTGGGCTGGGCCCAGGCAGCCACGGAGGCGCCGGTGGATTCGGCAGGCAGTGGATGTTGGATCCACAAGCCTGGTAGATGAGTGAGAGGTGGGGGCACAGGAAAGCAGAACAGCCACAGCGAGGGGACCAGGAGGTCTGAGCAGAGCTGCGTGTGGACGTGGCCGGCGTCTGAGCCAGGGCTCAGGGAGGAGACCAGGGCCGGGCCGCCGTTTGGAGTCAGGCACACGTGGAGGACTTTCAGAGCCGTGGTGGGGCTTAGCGGAGGTCACCGAGGGAGGGCACGTTGAGGCGCCCCCCTGCCTCTGGTCTCAGCGACGTGAGCCCATCTCCCAGAGAGTAAGGTTTTAGAAACTGCAACAGGAGCCCATTCAGTTTTCCATCTTTTCCTGAGTGATCCAGGGGCGTTCTGTTCTATCCTAGTGAGTCCTTGAGAAGGAAGCCAGGCTGTGACTTTCTCCACCAGCTAATGGGACACCCGGGGGTCAGGGGAGTGCCTGGAAGCCCGTGGGCGTGCACTGGGCAGCATGGGGCACCTGTGCCGGCCTTCCCCGCACCCTGCAACCCGCCGGCCTCCCTCCCCGCAGAGCTGCACGGCAAGCTGCAGTCCTCCGAGGCTGAGGTGAGGAGCAGGTGCGAGGAGCTGAGCAGTGTCCACGGGCAGCTGGACGAGGCCAAGGCGCAAAACTCACAGCTCACGGAGAGGATCCGCTCCATCGAGGCCCTGCTGGAGGCGAGCCAGGCCCGGGATGCCCAGGTCAGCTGCACCTCCTCCTGGGAGCGCCCCCACCCACCCCACAGGGGCCCTGCCCTGATGACCTGTCGTGCGAGGTGGTTTCGTGGTGACCTCAGGACTCTGTCTTTCGTTCCAGGCCAGCCGAGAGGAGGCCAACCAGCAGCAGGCCCGGTAAGAGGAGGCAGGGGCCATGGCCTGGGTGCGGGGGTCCCAGGGAGGAGCCCTCTGAGACGCCTTGCCTTTCCTCATCCCTCCAGTGACCTCGAGGACGAGGACAGGCTGGGCAGGGAAGAGGGCACTTTGCAGGGAGCTCCTGCCTCGAGGAGCGAGGCTGTGGGGAGAGTGGCTGCGCCTCGGCATGGGGATGTGCCTCGCTGTCCATCCGTCCATCCATCCTTCTCTCCCCGGGAAGGACCGGCTGGTCAGGGTGTTCTCTCCACGTCACAGGGCGAGGGAATTTAGGAGCTGAAGTTGTAACCCAAACGGGAAAGTGGTTACGTGCCCAGAGTGGAGAACCCGGGAGGCTGCCCGGGCTTTTGCACAGATCTGGGATGCGGTGCGGTTCACAGCTGACCAGGTCGCAGGGTTGATGCCGGGTGACTTCATTGGCCCAGCCCCAGGCCTGCTTGGACTGTGTGTTTGCTGTTGCTAAGATCTGGTGGGCTCCTCAAGCCAGGGGGCTGGAAGTCCTAGGACCTTTGGCTCTGGGTATGTGTCCCTCAGCAGATGTCCATGAGCTCGGGGGAGGGGGGTGGCCCTGGCTGCTGTGGCTGGGGGTCCCCAGGGCAGCCACGTGGGGTTAAGCATGCAGGTGGTCGGTCATGTCCTGGGTCGTCCACTGACCAACCTCCCTTGTTCCGGCTGCTGCTGCCAGTGAGCCCCCTCCCCAGCGCCTCCCCAGGCCACGGCCCATGTTCCGTGGCCTTGGGCTAGGGTTTGGGGGCTGGGGAAGGAAGCCGGCCTCAGGGCGGCCCCAAAGCATCTTGCTGGAGACTCAGAAGGAAACCCTCTCCGTGCACCTTTCCAGAAAGCTTTGCGCAAACTTTGTTCCTCACGGCACTTGCCAGGGTAGAGAGGTGTTTGTTAAGCGTTTTGCTTCTTGTATTTTGCGATCAGCTACTGGGACTGCACAGCTAACTGCTAGTTACCGAAGTCATGCTGCAAGCAGGGTTGATTCTAGCTTTTTGCATCATGTAGATGTTTGGCAGAATTAGGGTTTTTTTAAATTTCCTTCTCAGACTGTTTATCTGGAAGTTGCGTCTAGGCCAGGCCATCGTGTTCTGGGGTGGGGATGAGTGATCCGGCCCCAGATGTTCTGGAACTCGGGCCGTAGCTACCAAGGGGGGTGACTGTCAGCGTGTCCTTGCCACCGGCCTGCTGTGCCTTCTTCCTCGGGGCCTCGTGCCTTTGGGGGTGCTCTTGCAGGGGTGTGCGCGGGGCCAGCGCTGGTGCAGAATGCCGGTGGCTTGAGGAGAAGCTGCGAGGGGGTCCCAGTGGAGCTTTGAGGGTGGGGTCAGGTCCTGTGGCCTGAAACCAACATCCAAGAAGTCGACAGCCGTCTTCAAGGCCACGTGCAAATGGTACTTAGAATGAAAATGAGATGGTGCTCGGGGGCGTCAGAGCGGGCAGCACACACAGCCTCGCTGAGGTTATTTGGTCCTCATGCACCTCCTTAGCGTGGTGTACTGCCGGCCCCCGGTGAGAAATACGAACGTGTCCCCCCCCGGGGGCATCCTCAGACGGGCTTCCTTCTGCTCCCAGAGGGGCCCTGTTGTGTTGCTTCAAGTCGGCGTTGGCGGCTTCTGGATGTCAGCTTTTGTGTGACCCCGGGGCTTTCCTGTCCTAAATCTTAACGCAGAAGGTGACGTATTAAGTGTCCATTTGAAGCGTCTTCCTCAGAGCAGCCAGAGCAGTTCTAGAGCGTCCACCCCTCGCTTTCTGGGTGATGGGGTGGACGGAGCCGCAGGGCCTCGAGTCCGGAGAGAAGTGTGAAAAGAGGGCCCCCCCGGCCTGCCAGCCGCACGCATCCGGGGTCGTCTCGGGCTGATTCCCTGGAGCCCAGGCGCAGGACTGAGGGGGAGCCTTCGGGTCTCAGCAGAGTTAGGTTTTGGACACAGGACGGTCCCAGCGCCGAGAGCAGGGATGCAGTTGATGGGTGTGCCGGCCACGGTGCCACCCGAGCCTCCGGCCCCGGCGTCCTCCGAGGAGGCCCAGCCCGGTCTCGAGGGCAGCTGTGGCCGTAGGGAAGGGCCAGCCGATGCGTGCTGCGGGACAGAGTGGGACCAGGCTCCGTTCAGCAGAAGAAAGAGCACCTGGAAACCTGACTGTCCAGGGCGTGTCCACGCGCTGGCCGTTGTGGCAGCTCTGACCGCTGCCGTCCCCGCAGCCAGTGCCACCAAGTGGGACAGCGCTGGCCTCTGGGCCCCCAGCCCTCAGGGGAGGGGCCCCGGTGGCTGCTGAGGCTCCCCTGAAGCCTGTGCCGGCTTGGGGAGGGGACTGACCGCAGCCCCAGGCCCCACGGGTGTTCCGGGGCAGAGGAAGGGGCCCCGAGACAGGGCCTATGGCGGCCGCGGGCCCTTGGAGCCCGGCAGTGACGCCGCCATCCCCCCTCAGCCTCATGGAGCTGGAGTCGCAGGTGTGGTGTCTGGAGAAGGAGGCCACGGAGCTCAAGGAGGCAGTTGAGCAGCAGAAAGTGAAGAACAATGTGAGTGTCGAGGGGCCGCCTGCCGTGTGGATGGGGAGGGGGCTCGGGGCCTCTCCTTGTCCCGTCCGGCTGCTCCCCGTGGGGGGGGCTCGGGGGTCCTGACTCCCACTGGGTCGGCTTGATCATGTGGTCACCTTGGTCATGTGGTCGCCTGGCGTGAGGAGGGGGCTGTAGGGCGCCTCCTCTGCGGTGGGCGCATGGGAGCCTCGGCTGCATCCCCCCGACCCAGGCCAGCCCCCCCCCCCCACACCCCCCCCCCCGACACACACACACACACACACACACACACACACACACACACACACACACTCCGGCTCCTGCAGATCAGTCTCCCCGAAAGGCGCCCGCAGGCCCCAGCCACCCGAGAGCAGCCTGGCGCCAGTGCTGCCCGGAGTGGCCTGTGAGGTCCAGAGATGGGTCGGAGAGGGCTCGCCCGCCCGGTGGACACCAGCCTGGTTGTTGACTGGTCGTCTCCCTTCTCCTCCCAGGACCTCCGAGAGAAGAACTGGAAGGCAATGGAGGCTCTGGCCTCGGCCGAGAGGGGCTGCGAGGAGAAGCTGCGGTCCCTGACCCAGGCCAAGGTCAGCGTCGGCCTCGGGCTCGCCTCGGTCTAGCAGCTCAGCAGACCACACAGACTGCGTGCAGGGCAGCCCCAGCCTCAGGGCGTCTCAGAAGTCCACCCAGGGCCCGGCCGCTGCGTATTCCTGCCCGCCCTCCTGCCCTCCCGCCGCGCATTTCTCCCCGAGATGCGGGGAGCGGTGAGCCCTTGTCTCCTGCTTCTCAGCTGGGCCTTTTGCCCTCGGAGGCCATGGGGGCCCCGAGCTGGGTCTGTTCATGGACTTCGCTCGTGTTAATTCTTCTCCCCTGACGTTTGTCTGCTTTCTCAGGCCCCCTGCGGTCCTGGCCCAGGGGCTCCGTGATTGAGCTTTGGGGGAAGGACAGTCTTTAGTAGCAAGCACTCAGGCCCAGGTCGGGGGAGCACGGGTGGGTCAGTGTCCAGGGCCCTGGCCGGGACATGGTCTGCAGCTGCAGCACGAGCAGGCGGGGCCTCACCACTGGCTTTGGCCAGGCCTGCCCTCCCTCTCCCTCCCGCCCCCCGCCCCCAATGCAGAATTAATGTCTGTCCTGTTATCATGAGCTTTGCAGCAACTTTCACAAGCCTCCCAGGAAGCCTGAGGGTGTGTCAGATGAGGCCTCCGAGAGGCAGAGCTGGGGAGCTACACTTAGACTCCCCAGAAGTGACCTGGGCGCCTGTCTGGCCTTTCTGTGGCAAATGCAGAAGCTGTGACCAGAGGTGTCACCTGACTTGTTTGTGGTCACACAGCCAGATAAAGACAGGGAGCTGGCCTCTGGGTCCTCAACCCTTGCTTGGCCTCCCATGACCCGGGCACCTGAATGGTGGTCACGAGGTCGGGAGCCCATAGCAGGCCAGAGGTCGGGAGCCCATAGCAGGCCACGGATCAGCGGGTGAGTGAGAAAGGTCGGCTTCTGAGACTCAAGTCTAGGCATGTGGTGCTGTGGTCAGGCTGGGCATCCATCTGCCGGCCATCCATCCCCCCACCGCCGGCCCCAAGTCACACACAGAGCCTCACTCCCGGCTCTAGTCCGGGAGCTCCTAGTGCCGTTCCAGGCCTCGGGCCCTTAGGGGCAGGCGGCAGGCTCAGCCTGCTGGGGACGGGTGACCAGACGGGACTTTCAGCCAGAAATCGGCGCCACCCCGTGCCCCCAGGGTGTGGGGAGAGGCTATCTGTCCCCGGGGACAGTGCAGTCCTTCTCGGCTTTACTCAGGGCTCCTTCCCGCTTCCTGCGTTGAGTAGGAGCATGAGGGAGGATGGAGCGGGGCTCTGGCCAGCGCGGCTGCAGCAGGGGCCCAGGAGCTGTTGGAGAGCCGAGACCCCGACCTGCCTTATCCCCTCAGCACGTGGCAGCCCTGATCCTCCCGCCCACAGGGTTGCAGGAGCTCCTGACCCTGGTGGCCACCCCTCTTCTCTGCACTCCCCGCCCCCCATATGCACACGCTCAGAAAGAAGACCTGAGCCTGAGTGTCTGCCGGGAGGTGTCCGCGAACCTGCATGTCCCGTAGGGGGTGCTGCCATCCCCCTTCCTTAGAGCTGGGTTTGTTTAAAGTTGGCCAGGCCTGGGGTGGGGTGGCCGGAACTTGACTGCTAAGGTTAGACACACCCCCGCCCAGCCGGCCCCACAGAGCCACCATTAGTCTCCTCCGATCCTTGTTCCTCCCCTGAAGGGCTGGGGACATGTTCCTGGGGTGAAACCCTCGGGGCTGCCGTAAGCTCCGTGGCTGACCACCCTCCCGCCCTCCCGCCCCGCCCCCAGGAGGAGTCGGAGAAGCAGCTCAGCCTGATGGAGGCCCAGACCAGGGAGGCCCTGCTGGCCCTGCTCCCGGGCCTCTCTGTCCCCACCCACCAGGTAGGAGGGGAGGCAGCTCCCGGGGGACCCCTGTGCGGGTGGGGGCACATCCCGCCCAACCTTGAATGTTTTTGTCGCAGAATTACGCCGACTGGCTGCAGGAGCTCAAAGAGAAAGGCCCAGAGCTGCTGAAGCAGCCACCAGCGAACACGGAGCCCTCGGTGAGCACGGCCACTGTCACTCGCGCCCTGTCCTGTCTGCGGGATGGAGGGTGCCTGGAGCCGGCCATCGGATTTTGACTCAGCAGGCCTCTGTCCTGCCCTCCACCCTCAGGACCTGGCTGCCAAGCTGAGGGAGGCGGAGGAGACGCAGAACAGCCTTCAGGCCGAGTGTGACCAGTACCGCAGCATCCTGGCCGAGACGGTGAGGCCTGGGCTCTGTGACCTTGGGCGAGTCACTGCCCCTCTCTGGGCCCAGTTTCTTTGGCTGAATGGTGAAGGGGGTGAGCTCAGGTTGAAGGTCTGGGGCACAGTCTGGGAAGGGATAGGACAGCGTTCGTCTTGAATCCGCTTTCCTGCGACTCCAGGGGCCATGCTCACTCAGCCTCCCTCTGCGATGGCCAGTCCTGGGTTCCCCGTTCTGGGCCGCTGAGGCCCACCTGGTGCAAACCCACCGGAGACGAGAGTCCTGACAACCTTGTTCGCACACCGGCCGGGGGCCCCCCTCCGGAACTGTACCCCTTCCTCCCGCACGGCCGGCCGCTCTGGGCTCTGAGCCGGGGGGGTTGCGGGGAGCCACGGGGGTGTGTGTGGGGGGCCTCCAGGCCCTGCTCAGTGCCGTCCCCGCAGGAGGCCATGCTCAAAGCCCTGCAGAAGAGCGTGGAGGAGGAGGAACAGGTGTGGAAGGCCCGGGTGAGCGCCACGGAGGAGGAGCTCCAGAAGGTACCGCACGGCCCCCAGTCTCCCCAGGGCCCACCTTCCCTCGGAACCCAAACTCCACTCCCTCAGAATGCCATACAATTCAGGGGGAACGCCCACGGGGTTATCTGGGTCACTTGGGAGTCACGTTTGCTGGGTTTTGGTGATGCCACAAACAGTGTCATTGTGGAATGACCGACAGCTGAGTCCCGGTCTCGAGGAGACCACCCCCAGCCCCACCTCCAAGGAAGAGGGTGCTGGTCATACCTGGGGGTGGGGGGGGCGGGGGCACCACAGGGCTTCCTGGGAGGTGGGGTGCATCCCGGGATGGACCCCCGGGGCTCGTGCTTGACGGCGCTCCCCCTTCTTGCTTTGTAGTCGCGGGTCACAGTGAAGCATCTCGAAGAGACTGTCGGGAAGCTGAAAGGGGAACTTGAAAGTGCCGATCAGGTGCGTGCGGGTGCTGTCCGGAGGGCTGCCATCCTGCTACAGAGGCTCCTCTAGCGGCTTTCCTTCCCCGACCGCACGTCCCTGCTTGTCCTTAATGAGCTGTTACGACCTCGGGGTGGCTGGGCCCCGGTGCACCATGGCTTCTGCCGTGGCCTCATGAACCGTGGGAGGGTTGCCGGGTGGCCCTGCTGCACTCCGCACCCTCCTTGCAAGTTAAACCTAAAAGCTGCTGAGGTCTGAGAACACGTGCAGCCCCAGGGTGCCTCTTCAGGAGGTGTTGGGCCTGGGGGGCACCCCCCTGCATGGCCTCAGTTGGCTCGTAGCCATCAGGCCACGGGGGCCCCTCTCAGCCCTTGTCCCAGGGCCTGGTGGCCCCAGCGCCCTGTCCCCGTGGCCCGTGCCCTCCTGCTGGCCGGCTCGAGGATCCTGATGTGTGTTGTGTCCAGGTGAGGGAGCACACGTCACATCTGGAGGCCGAGCTGGAGAAGCACATGGCGGCCGCGAGCGCCGAGTGCCAGAACTACGCCACGGAGGTGGCAGGGGTGAGTGTCCTGGCGCAGGTGGGCCTGGTGGGGGCCCTGCGGCCAGGGCAGGGGGCAGCCAGGTCAGCCTGGCAGCGAGAGGATCTCTCTACCCGGTGTGGAGACACCATCTCTGCGGGGAAGGCATTTAAACCTGAGTGTTTTCTGATTCGGGGAGCAGAGGGCACAAGCCTGGCGCCCCCGGTCCTGGTTCGATCTCCGACTTCTGGCCTCACTTTGCAAAAGACAATCCACAAACATTTGTGCAGGCCTGAGACTAGCGTGTACTGAACACGATCCTTCCTCCGTCTTCAAAAAAGAGCAGAAGCTCCTGGGGGCCTGCGCCCACCCCTCCCCCACGCCCCACAGGCTCTCCGGGTGGCGTATGTGGATGTGCTTGGTTGGGTGTGAGGTGCTGACTCACCGGAACTGGCTCTCTCTCCTTTTCTCCCACCACCCGGGTCTGTTTTCTGTCCAAGTTGAGGCAGCTTTTATTAGAATCTCAGTCTCAGCTGGATGCAGCCAAGAGTGAAGCCCAGAAACAAAGCGACGAGCTTGCCCTGGTGAGCGAACTGGTGTGGCCGGCGTGTGCCCTGGGGTTGGGTGTGTGTGTTTCTGCGTCCCGTCAAAGGGGACGTGCGCCGGTCTGTGCTGGGCCCGGTGTGGACGGCCCCTCACACGTTTGTTCCATGCTGCACACTGGGCCTGTGGCTGCCGGGACCACGGGGCTCCAGGTCTGCACTGGGAGCTCTGGGGGGGGGTCCTTCTGCCCCGTGGCCTTCTGTGGGACTAGGGTCCTTCTTGTGGGACTAGGGTCCTTCCTCACCCAGCGGTGGCTCAGGTCAGGTCAGTCAGATCTGCAGTGTGCAGGGCGGCCTGCTCCATGCTGGGCGGTACCAGGTGACCTGTCCACAGCTGCGCAGAGCTCCCAGCCACGTGGGGGCCTCTGGTTCTTCCGGTTTTCAGCCTTGATGTGTGACTCTGGTCCACGCTCCTTGGCCAGGTCAGCCTGGCCTTGTAGTGGGGTGGGGGGGGGTGGCCCACTGGTTCCAGTACCAGCCCGTGAGGCCAGACACAGTCCGTGTGATCTGCACGGTCTTTCATTAAATCATGAGTTGGCTGTTAACACTGAGCCATCGGCGTGGGGGGGGTGGGGGGAGCGGGCGCGGGGTGCTGTGTGTATGTGTGAAAAACGTACATGTCTGGCTTTCTGCGAGGAGACCCCAGGTCTGGTCCGGGGGGCTGGCGTTCCCAAAGCAGCATTCACCGAGCAGCCCCCTCGCTGGGTGCACGCTCTGGCTCCCCGGGTGCCCCCTCTGGTCGTTCGGGCCTGACCGGGGACCATCGCCCCCGAGGGCAGGTGCCGAGTCTGAGGGCCACTCTCCAAAGCCATGTCCAAGCCAGGCCTGGGTCACATGCAGAGGACACGCCCCGAGTTTCTCCTCGTCACTGGCCTCTGCGGTCTGGTGTTGACTTTTGGGGCTGTTGGCAGGAGGAAAGGACTTGGAGGGTCAGGCCCCACACACTTGGGGCGCCCCTCATGGGGCAGCTCTGTCAGGGTCCCCCTCAGATCCCCGCTGGGAACCTTCACCCGAGCTTTGTGGGTGACACTGCTGCCCCTTCAGACTTGAGGTTCAGAGGTCTGGGGCTTAGGCCCCCCGGCAGTGGAGCTCAGGGGTGAGGGGACCTTATGAGGTAAGAGTGTGAGCTCGTCGGGGACCCCACAAAAGGCCCTGACGGGGGACCGCACCCAGGAGGGTAGCGGGAGGCAGGCGGCAGTGTCTGCGCCGAGCCCACCGGCCGCCTGCCGTTCTTCAGATTCCGTAGCCCCACGCATACCACATCCTTCGGGGGTCACCTGGCTCCTGGGTCCTGGCTCCCCCACCGGCGTGGGGGTCTCTGCACTGCTGGCCTTGCCACGGAGCATGCATGTGGGGTCAGCCCGGGCCCCTTGCGGGCCCCTCGGCCACAGTTTGGCTCGGGTGAGGGCTCGTGGCGCTGGCTCTCCTGCCCCAGGGAACCTGCATGGGAGCCAACACAGGCCACAGTTGTCAGAGCAGGGCCGCCGTGGGCTTTGGCTGCTGAGAGCATCTGCCGTCCTGCGGCGTGCGTCCAGCTACGCCAGGCACAAACCCACCCTCCCTGTTCCAGGTCAGGCAGCAGTTGAGTGAGATGAAGAGCCACGTAGAGGATGGTGACGTAGCCGGGTCCCCGGCTGCCCCCCCAGAGGCCCCCTCAGCAGAGCAGGACCCCATCAAGGTTAGGGTGGTGAGCCCGTCCCCAGGTGCCGTCACTGACCGCCGTGTGGGCCCTTCCACCCAGCTGGAGGGCAGGGACGGCAGCCTCTGCTCCGGCTAAACTCCGGCCACTCGCAGCTCCCGGCCCCACTGCCCAGATGCCCGACTCCTCAGGACGCCAGAGTGGGAGGGGGGAGGGGGGCTGGGGCATCACTGGTGGAGCCCTTGCCATCCAGACCCCTGATCTGGGCGGCAGCCGCCCAGAGCCTCGCCGGGGTGGGAAGGCCGCCAGGGCTCGTGCGGTGCCTAGGCTCCTCTGTCCTGGGGTCTCAGCAGAGGGGCTGCATCTGCGTCTCTTCTCAGCCATACCAGCTTCCGTTCCCAGGGGTCGGGGCCCTGCCTCCCCCAGGGGGGCTTCAGGCACAAAGTCTCCCCGCTCGCTTGTCCCAGGCAGGGCAGGGTCGAGGGGGCCCTGGGTACAGCCAGAAGATGTGGCCGCAGGTCTCAGGCTGCCCAGAGGAGCCCTGGGTGCCCAGGAGGGTCTGCCCCAGGCTCCGAGCATGTCTGCGGTGTTTGCATGCAGCTGAAGTTGCAGCTGGAGCGGACGGAAGCCATCCTGGAGGACGAGCAGACGCAGCGGCAGAAGCTCACAGCCGAGTTCGAGGAGGTCAGGCTGCCCCGTGCCGTCGGGGCTTCTCTGGGTCAGGGCGGCGGGTCTAGGGGGTTGAGCCGCGTCCCACCCCAGGGGGTGTCGCTGCGCCATCGTCACCCGCCTCCTGTCCACATGGGGCCTGACCCGCTGCCCCGCTCCATCCAGGCTCAGCTCGTGTCGAGTCGTCTGCAGGGGGAGTTGGAGAAGCTCCGCTGCAGCAGCGCCCTCGGGTCCTCAGAGGCGGAGGAGGCCACGCGGCTCAAGGTACAAGGTTCCCCGTTGTCACCCCCGGAGGCTCCTCGGGCAGCGTCCAGCCTAATTTTGAGGTTGGCGAGGCCGGGGGGATCCCTAAGTCTCCAGTGTGACGATTTAAATCGAGTAGAACTGAAGCTGAGCTCCTCCATCACCCTGGCCACAGGGCAGGTGCTCAGCAGCCAGTGCCCGACCCTGAAGCACAGCCCTGTGACCCGCAGGCCGCGTCCTCACACCCTTGGCCCCACGTGCGCAGCCAGGTGGCCTTCCTGCTGTGCGTCACGTGAAGGCTGATCCCCTTCAACCCTTTGACCCACAGGAGAGACTAGAAAAGGAGAAGAAATTAACCAGTGATCTGGGACGCGCTGCCACCAAACTACAGGAGCTTTTGAAGACGACCCAGGAGCAGCTGGCAAAGGAGAAAGACACGGTGAAGAAGCTGCAGGAGCAGCTGGACAGACCAGTGAGTGCCGCCGGCCATCCCCTCGGGGGTTGGGCAGGGCTGGGCACCCCGGGATGCCTGAAAGCTGTCCTCCGCCCCGCCAAGCCCTCGGGTGCCTCCTCCAGCCCCAGGGGCCTCTCAAGGTGGAAGGTGGTAGGTAGGGTGGTGTAGGGACGAGGCCCCGAGGCCCAGCCTGCCCCTCCCCCGCCCTCTGTTCACAGGAGGCCGGCAGCAGCAGCTCGAAGGAGGGAACATCTGTCTGAGCTTCCTGCGGAAAAAGAAGTCACTGTTCAACTTACCAAAATGCCTTACACATTCCTGACCAATAAACAAACCAACACAGCGTTATCTGGGCCCAACTTGGGTAGCTCTGAGAAGCCATAGAGACGAGAGTCTCTTAGCACCAGAAGTAGCTCTTCCAGACCCCAGTTTGTAAAAGAATCTTTGTCACATTCGATAAACACTATTCCCTAGGACCGACCCTGGACCACCTGCCAGCAGACGCCAAAGCCCTCAGCAGCTGTGTGACAGACCCGGGTGTGTGCTAGGGGGCCGGGACCTTGGGGTGTGTATGTCAACCAATCAGTGCAATTGTTGTGTCTTTTGTGGGGTTGGCGGTCGGGCGATGGGCAGTCCGGGTGGTGAGTCCTGAAGGCTGCAGCGCAGACTGTAGGGTCACAGCCAGCGAGGCAGCAGTTCTCACCCCTGGAAACAGTTGCCACCACAACTGACGTGTGACCTCCTGGGTGTTGATGCCATTAAAACCCGTGTGTCGCCCGGCACTTTGGGAGAGAATGAGTGTGATTTCTGGTTCCCCCGCGCTTTCCCCACCCGGGCCCTAGCGCCCACCGGGCAGGATGAGGGAGCAGGGCCTGTGACACCTGGTGGCCAGATGCCCTGTGGGCTCCACCCTGAGGAACTGAGGCGGTTCCCTAGCAGGGCTGTAGGCAGCCTAGGCTGTCATGTGAAGTGAGTTCCAGGAATGAACATGGACCTGGGCAAACATCCACGCCGCAGGAGGGCTGGCCCAGGGCGGCGGGGGGGGGGGGGGGGGGGAAGCAGGCAGCTGAACTTGCGGTGATCCTTGGACCCACTGTGTTCTGAGGGGCCCACAGAATCTGTGGTCAGGAGGTATGTCAGGGGCTTTGTAAGGAACCTGGAGCTCAAGCAAAAAAAAATGGATTTAGAGGCAGGGTGACAGGAGCAGTTGCACCAACCTAGGAACAGAAGGTGAATCAGAGCAACCCTGGCGGGGGGCGGGGGGGCGGTCTCGCTGGTACGTTCAGCTCAATTCCAGGACATAATCCTGGGAGAGGGGTCTGATAGGCTGAACGTAGACTGCAGGTACAGCCAGATAGAAGGGAGGGTGGTGCTCCCAGGGAGAGCAGCTGAGTACTGGGGTCTCACCACCTGCTTGAGAAGCTCTGCATCCCATTCATCGCAGTGGGGGGCGGGGGGTTGACTCCTCTCTGGGGTGGTTGTCACAGCAGCCTCGGGACCTTGGGGAGGGAAAGACCAGGGTGCTGCCCAAGGCCCCATGCAAGCCACTGCCAGAGGCCGGGCAGTGCTGATTTCAGTCTGCACAACCAAGACCTGGGCCTGGCTTTCAGGGGCACTTGGTACGCGGGCCACCTGGCCCTGCTGTGTGGCACTTGTATGTTGCAACTCTGTTGGGATCAGGGTGCTGGAAATTCTGGGATGGTTCCCCAGAGATGTGAGCGGAAGCTTGAGTTCAGCACAGAGGCGCTGTCAGAGGAGGAGGGGTCAAGGCCAAGGGGACAGTGGTGCACACAGAGTGAGTGTCCGGGAGGGCCCTGTGTAGCCGTGAAGTCAAGGGGTCTAGACAGGAGGGCACTGGGAGCCACCGAGGGGGACAGTCATACCCGCCTGGAACTCTGCAGGGGGCTCAACTGGAAAGGGAGCCCGCGGGCCGCAGGACACAGGTTCCGGCCAGGAGCCCGAGCGGAAGTGACGGATGAGACCCGAGCCGCCACGGGCCTGCCCGCAGGCTCAGTTCTCACGTGACATCTTCCAGTGCCTGTGGGAGAGGAAGCTCCCCCACCCTGCAAAGAACCCTGCAGAAGTGAGAGTGGCTCACCTGGTGAAAGGCTGGGCAGGCTTCAGGCCCGCCTCTAACACCAGCCAAGGTCAGGAGGCCTGGGGAGGTTTGTGAGCCTGGAGCCCACACCCGGCTCACAACTCACCCTCTGGCACACAGGGACCTTCACGCAAGGGTAGGGGTTTGGGGCCGTTCTCTGGTGGGAAACAGGCCGGCCTCGTGCCCCAAACCAGGTCTCTGGCATCCGAGTGGCCACCGTAGGCCCAGGAGCCTGCGTTTCCACTAAGCTCCCCTCCCTCACCACACCAGCTTCAGGACTGAGGACCCTGACACTAGGCAGATGCCCCCTGAAGGCACAGGAATGGGTCACTTCCAGGAAAGAAGGCACAGGAGACCCTGGGGGTGCCGAGCTGCTGCCTTTGGGCTCCGTCCTCAGACCGCCTGGTGGGGCCCAGCATCCACCTGTGGGGACCAGGCGGCCCAGGGCAGGGTGAGCCCCTCTCCCTCCCCCCCCCCCCACCCCGCCCTGAGGCCCAGCAGCAGCGGCTCCCGGCTGGCCGGCAGGGGGAGCCCACGGGCCTCGCTGTCCCTGGGCCAGGTCCCACCCTCGGGCTGGGGAGGGGGGCAGGCAGCTGCCCTCACAGACCCAGCCCATGTCTCAGGCCCCGACAGGAGAGCTGGGGACTCTGACAGCATCTGGTCCAAAGTCCCCCTGCAGAGGCTCCCGGGTTGACCTGAAGCTCAGAGTCACGAGGCCCATCAACATCCCCTCCAGACCCGGAAGCCCCGTCACGCTGGTGGCAGCTTTCTGGACTAGCTTCCTCCAGTCACCTCCGCGTGACAGTCAATAAAATGCACAAACACCGGGATGCCTGGCCTGCAGGCAGCAAAGACACAAGATCCTAGAAGCCACCAGACACTCCACAAACGCCTTCTCTTTGAGCTTCCTGCAGGTTTGGGGCCAACAGGACTCAAAACCCAAAAGAAGAGTGTTGTTTTCCTTCCCGCCCCAAATAGAACAAAATCTCAGAACTCCAGATGCGTGATGGGAATAGCTTAGGACCGGAAAACGAGACCTGAGCTGTCCAGCTGTGCCGCCCATGAGCTGTGTGACCTTAGACAAGTTACTTTACCTCTCTGGACTGGCTACTGAGGCACTGGCTGCAGGCTCAGTAAGTCCCCTCCTGCTGCCCCTCCAGCCAACCATGCAGTGACCCTTCTTCCAGCTGCAGCCCGGCTGGAACTTGGTCTAAAGACTGACTGCACGGTTCAGAAGTGCCCCAGGTCATGACAAAGTGATGAGTCTGCCCTTGGGCATATCCAGGCTCTGATAGTCCAAAGGGCACGAACTGGTGAAGAAACAGAAGCTGCACTTGTGTGTGTGGACCAGCCAGCACTCTGAGGAGTTCTAAAAAAAAGGAAACCACTCGACTAAGCCTAATGTTATTGAGTCACTGTGTACACTGTTTTCTTAGAGATTAATATTCTCTGAGTAACAAACTTCACAGTCAAGCTCTGAACTTCTGTTAGCAGTGGCTTTATCTGCTTCTTCCTCGGGACAAAAGAGTAATGATTAAATGAACTCTAAGTCAGCTTTCCACACACACTTCTGCAACGTGTTAACACTTATAAAAGTGTACATGTGTTGAAAGCAGAGAATACCTGTGGTTTTATTCCTCACCAATGTCAGCTGAGGTCTCAAAACTCTAATTTTGCAGCAGAATTACCCGGAATGCTGGTTAGCAGGATTCTTGGGCCCCAACCTCAGGAATCCAAAAGCTCCCCTAGGCAGAGATATAAGTGACTATTAGCATTTCCCAATTTCTGGAGTCAAGTGGACCGCTGGGAGCCGTTTACATCACATCACATCCCTGTGCTCGAAAGCCTCCCCACGGCAGCACCCCCGCCCCGACATACCTGCACGGAGGAGTGGTGGTACTCATACAGGTGGGGCCACACGTCACAAGGTGAAGCCACAGAAAAGACCTTCTCCTTCTAGACTCCTGGCTCTACCTACAAAGCTGATTCTTGAAAAGGGCAGCCTTGGGCCCGCAGCGCTTCCCGGAGGCCTGTTAACGTACACTCACTAAAAGCACTGCTTTGCAGAAGACAAAACAAATTCAGGATGAAAGAACGACAAGCAGCCTATCGGTAAACCAGTAGCCAGCACTATTTTCTAGATAATTTTGAAAGAAGTACTTTGATCAAAGCGTATCCTTTTTTGGCTCCCAAATGAATCAGAGAGGAGACAAAATCCTGGCATTTGGATAAACATTTGGAATAAGAGAGAGACTCCCAACTTTTATACCAACTTTTTCATTCAATCAGAGGAAGAGGGGGCTGTGGCCTTAACGCTAATTGTCCGAAATACCCAAACCTCCACACCTAACCCCACACATGGAAGGCAAAATCCTTTATCCCCAATTCAGCCATGAATAATTACACGAGAGAGAAATTAAAAATGCTTCCTTTATTACATAAAGCCAGTACTGCTACTTCTAAATTCCACTGTTTGTGCATCTCTGTGTTGTTCAGTGTTACGCCTGTGACGTGAAAGGCAGTCACTTCCAGGTGTCCTCAGCGTGGCTTCCCGTGGCTGTCGGCCGTCACACCCGCTCCCCGCTTCGGACAGTCGGCAAACTACTCTAGGAAACTAAGAAGCTTGCCCAGGCCCCGGAGTAAACATAATGTTCTTCCAAACCCTATTGTACCAGAAGCAACACAGCTCTGAAGGAGACACAATTAAAGACATCCCGGTATCCCAGTCTGTCAATACACCACCTCACCATTTTCATCAACAAAGCGGATTACACTGGAGCCCAAATTTGCATTATAATTCGCTGTTACAAGACAGTGCACATTCTCCAGATTTCCAAGATGCAAGGTCACTCTCAGAACAGCCTCCCAACTAGACCAGCGAGCAGCTGCAGGTGCAGGAGCTGCTTCCTGTGTGCCAACTACGTGTATAAAGTAGTGCTGTGCAAGATCGGCGCTGGTTCTAAGCAGTCTCCACCACACGTCTGGTAGAATCTTACGTAGTTAGTAAGTACATTAGTGCTGTTACATGTTGTGAGAATTATTTTCCATTACTCAGTTTAGCTCAACAGAGAAAAAAGAATTTGGGCCAAAATTATAACCAGATTATGACCAATTCTCTAAGCAAAAGAAACAAAGTAACTACTGAGGTTAATGAAGACGCAGTAATTCTCTTCATGGGGCCTTGGACTGTTTTGTGAACTGCACTATTAGAAATCATGAGCTTAACAAAAACCTTTACAAGTCAACTAATCAAAACAGGCATTTGGCCAATAAGAATTTAATTTCACACCAATACAACTTTAGAGTTTAGATTTATTTAGGGCCATTTGCACATGTGCATGGAATAGTTTACCCTAGCAAATGACAAGACAGCTCCCCTCAGCGAGTCCCTGGCCTAAACGTATCAGCTTTACTTACATAGCAAAAGGATAACATTAAACACGGAAGCTTTCAGTTTGTGGCACCGAGTGATGGTCTACACAGGGCATCCTTCAAAAGCTACAATTAAGGATCCACCTAGCTTTTCAGCAATACAAGCCCGATTGAGGTCTTCTGGCCCATTTGCTTGACATTCATGTTTTATGCCTAGGGAGGAAAAACAACAATTCCATTTAGAATTATGGCAGTAGCTTACGTATTTCTCTAAGATATCAAACTGTTTTAAAAGACCAGTTCAAACGTGGGTGGGAAAGCC